TTCTCAAAAACTTTCTTGTATTCTCTCTCACTTTGCATCTTGGCAACATTCATACAATGCATAATTTTAGGATCATCTTCTACACAATGAGCTCCAATGTGATGGCCAAGTTGCTTGCGATAACCTTCTTTGTATATGTACTGAAATAAGCATATACATTTAATTCACCTATATAGAAAAGTACTTGTTCAGTAATTCAAAAGGAAATCTTACATCATTTCAAAACTAACTTGTCCATGAATCTTTTCCAGGGACTTGTATCAAAACTATTAGGAAAAATGGATTCACTCATCCAATTTTAGGTCATGGTTAAAGACTGACATATTTTAACAAGTTTTTTTTTAACCTTATTGCTGTTATTTATTATTTTTAAAAAATACATCCAGTTCTGTTTTTGAAGACAATATACTAGATAACATTTATAATCAAGGTTTTATATTTGGTTCTTTTGTCATGTTATGCTAGCTATACCCTTGTCTCAATGACTTTCCTTACACAATTTGAAATTTGTATTTAGTATGAAAAGTCCTCTTCTCTCTATAGTTTGCTGAACTCATAGGATTAAAACAATAACTTTAGATAATTCAAGATTTTAGTCCTACCATGTGGAATATTTAAATTTTCCTCCCCCAAACAGATCAAGATACATACACAGATGTCCACAAAATTAAAAGATTTTTCCACACTTTGCCATTGGAGCAAAGCTCTCATGAACCAGAAATCCATAGTTCTCCCTGGATTTGGAGATTTATTTATTTATTAATGTATTTTATTCAATTTCTATAGCCGCCCATCTTAGACAAGTGACTCTGGGCAGTGAGCAATCATAAAAACAGTTAAAACCAATTCAAACATAATATAAAAATAACATATATGTGTGTGTGGGTGTGGGTGTGTGTGTGTGTGTGTGTGTGTATGTGTAGAGAGAGAGAGGGAGGGAGGGAGGAGCCAATACAATTATAACCTTAGATACCAATATAGTCAGGAAACAGAGCCCTTAACACTCTTGAGGCCCCTGGCCGAGGCATATAACCAGGTCTTCAAGACCTCATGAAAGGCCAACAATGTCAGGGCCATCCTAATATCTGGAGGGAGAATGTTCCAGGGGGCAAGTGCTATGGCAGAGAAGGCATGCCTCCTAGTCCCCACCAGCCAATATTCCTTGGCTGATGGGACCCAGAGCATGCCCATTCTGCCAGACCAAATTGGACGGGTAGAAACAACTGGGAGAAGATGGTCTCTCAGGTAACCCAGTCCCAAGCCATGAAGGGCTTTGCACTGGAAACACACTGGCAGCCAATGCAGCTCACGAAGCAATGGTGTCACTTGTGCCGAGTACCTGACACTATTTACTACCCATGCAGCTGCATTCTGCACCAGGTGAAGCTTCTGAAGCTCTTCAACGGCAGCCCCATATACAGTGTGTTGCAGTAACCCAGGTGAGAGGTCACGAGGGCATGACTGACAGTGAGTAGAGCCTCCTGGTCCAGGAATGGGCGCAACTGGTACACAACCGAAAGGTGTGCAAAGACCCTTTTAGCCACAGCTGCCACCTGCTTTTGTAGCAGGAACCATGAGTCCAAGAGGACCCCAGATTGCACACTGGGTCTGTCTGGGGCAGTGCCGCCCAATCCAGGGCTAAAGGTGGAAAAACCTTCTCACCAGAAGGCCCAAACACCCAAAAGCCACTCAGCCCATTGCACCCCATCTAGGCCCCTACAGCCTCAAGGCTCTGGGACAGGACACCCATGGAATCACTCAGACAGCTTGGGGTACAGACATAAAGCTGAGTATCATCAGCATAGGGATATCTCACCCCAAACTGCCAGACCACCTAACCTAGTAGCTTCATGTAGATGTTAAATGAGAGAGAAGAAAGGACCAAACCCTGCAGCACCCCACAAAGTAGGGGCTGCGGGCTAGACCTCTCCACCCCATCAACACCAACTGGAACTGACCCTGGAGGAAGGCGGAGAACCAGCACTACACAGTGCTGCCCACCCCCAACTCCCAAAGCCAGTCCATGATTGATGGTATCGAAGGCCACTGAGAGGTCAAGAAGAGCAAGGATGGATGCAGTACTCCATCCCGCTCCCATCAGAGGTCATCCAAGAGTGCAACCAATGCTGCCTCAGTCCCATAACCCAGCCTGTACCCTGTCTGAAAGGGAACCAGATAATCTGCTTCATACAGGGTCCTTTGAAGCTGCTATGCGACTACTTTTTCCACAATCTTCCCTAAAAAGGGGAGGTTGGAGACTGGATGGAAACTGTCCAGGCTAGTTGGGTCGAGCAATGGCCCCTTGAGGAGAGGATGCATCATCCTTAAGAGCTGGCGGGACCACCCCTTTCCTCAAGGAAGAATTAATCATTGCCCCAACCCAATCATGCATCCTCTCCCAGGCAGCCTTTACCAACCAGGAGGAACACAGATCTAACACAGAAGTGGCCAAACTAACAGCCAAAAGAATCCTGTCCACTTCCTCAGGTTCAACAGGATTGAACTCTCCCCAGATAACCATGCAGGACTGAGTCCCCATAACCTTCACTGGCCCGGTCTCAAGGCTGGAGTCCAATGCAGAGTGAATCTGAGTGATTTTATCCACTAGATGTGCAGCATATTCCTCACAGCGACCCTGTAGGTGGATCCCAGTATTACTCCTTCTAAGGAGGGACCAGGTCACCCAAAACAGGGCCACCAGGTGACTATCTGCAGATGCAATAAGGACGGAGAAATAATTATGTTTTGTTGCCTTTACCATGAAATCCATCCTACACTATACAGATCCATCCTACATTAATTCTTCTAAATTTATTTTCTAGCTTTACAGCTGCCCATATATCTAATGATTACATATCTCCCTCCTCAAATTTATTCTCAGATGCCTATACAACAGTTGAGGTTTTTCTGGCATTATTTTGCAAAATTTGCTTACTTACAGAACGTATTTATTACAAGCTATTTTATTCCACTTCAGTCATATTGACTCAAAGCAGCTTACAAGCAGTGACATAATTTCTCAGTGCTGCTAAGAAAAAAACACAACTGTGCACTCTATTTTTGTAATTCACAGTATGAATTCCTTCACAGAAACTCTCAATCAAATCTCTTCCAGGGAAGTTTGAAGTACTTCCCGCAACAATCTTACACTCAGTAGAATACAGTTTGTGACTTGCTGTTTTTCACAAAGTTTCGTTTAATAATCACTGCTATTTATGGAGTCAAGTGGCCACCTACATCACTGGCAATAATCCTTGAAGCCTTGGCAGCTTGAATTGGGATAGCATCAAGGCGCAGATCATAGCCATCCTTTTTTGCTTGCTCCATGGCCAGTCTGTACAATTTCTGTGAGAAAGAAGAAAAGTTTGGTTTCAGTGCTGCACAGCTTTTGTGATACATGTGGAAATAAAGAAAATGTCCTATACCTTAGCAGAAATGTCATTCCTGATTTATCTGCACCGTATCAATGGAAGCTTTTCTGGGGCAACTCAGGAAACTGAATCCCCACACAACCCAATTATAACCCCAGGTCCTGCTGTAAGTGTTGCCATAGCCTGCAAGTCCTTGAAGGAGACCCACTTCTTCCGGTTGTTTTTACTCATCCTTATACTCACCTGGCTATAGTTGAATTTGTTGAGCTTTGCTAGGACGATTTCTGGCGTATCAGGCATGACATGGATCGTGCATTTATCTTTATCCCAAGCTTCAGTGTATAGCCTCTGCAGAACAGCATCAGAAAGAGAGTTAGCACAAACTGATGGCTGTTTATTAGTCAGTCTTCTAGTTAACTAGCTATTCTGACAGTTAAACTCAAAAATTTGCTGGGAAGGAAACTCATTAGTCTGTGACAGTATATGGTATGATTCTGTAGGACAGCACGTTGTCTCGTCTTTTATCAGGTGTGGTTCAAAGATCCTAAATTCATTGTAATCCCTGAGATTTTCCAAGTAAGTTTCCTAATTAATACCCTGGCTGGGAATTCTGGAAATTGTCATCAAGGTAAAATAGGAAGTTAACAACACTGGGAAAGAGACTCTAAAATTCTTTGCAGCAGAAGACTATATAAAGGTCATAACCATCTTATGGTTGATGTGCAGTACAAACTATACTTTGTCCAACAAGAGTTAATACATTTATGGACATATTTATTTACAAAGTTACAGAATGGAAATCAGTGGTACTGGAAAAAACTTAGGTTCAAATCCGACCTTCTGAATTTTATTTTGAATCACACCAAATGTTTGCAATAATTATAAAGGCTAATTTGTCATTTGCATAGTCAGAATTCACCTTGTTCATGATTTCGGCATTATGCCTGGCCAATTCCATCGGTAGAGAATCTGTCACACTGGTGAAGCTTAAACTCTCTGGAGGCTGGCGGTACATCTTTTCACTCAGGATCTCTCCAGCTTTCTTAACATGCTCAACATTCAGTGAACCAATCGGGACCCAACCAATGCCTTTCATCCACTCAAGGTCTGATTTGTAGTAATTCTGTGAATTAGAAGTTCATTAGAAAGATCATCTTGCATTTTTGGAAATACAATTAGATCTGATGGCACTTATGACACCTTCTAAATATTGCTGATCTGGGGAATATATATAAAGAAATCCTTGAAAATCTTGAAAAACATCCAAGGTATAATCTATGTTCAGGACATTTGTAATCTCATCCAGTGAAATAATGCCCCCTGTTTTAGATAGAACACAAGTATGTGTTTCATGAGTATGTGAAGGAAATTCTATTTGGGAGAGAACAAAACCAAATAGACACTTCAGAAGACACTAATAATATTTATTTCATGGTTCTCCAGACTTTTGTATAACTCTCTAATATACACTTGGAGAAAGAGAAAAGACTGTGATGTAATGGAGCAGCCTGAGTGAAGAGTCATCGTTGCTCATCCATGTAACACTTTGGGTTAAACAATTAAATGCCACTACTATCAATATTTTGTACATGCATGTGGCAGAAATGGACCTGAGATAGTGTGATTGCCCCTCTCCCAACTGGTATAGTCCAAGACAAAATTATACTCACATCACTCTGAAGATCATAAGCTTTCTTAGCATGGATGACATCATTCTGATCCGGCAGACATGTCCACTCATGTAAGTAATTGCGATAATCAATATCGCTGACTAGTTTCTGGCAATTCTTCGCCCCCAAGATGGACCACATATCCACAGGACTGCTATATTTGGTCTTCAATTTCTCAAAGACTTTCTTGTATTCTCTCTCACTTTGCATCTTGGCAACATTCATACAATGTACAATTTTAGGATCATCTTCTACACAACGAGCTCCAATGTGATGGCCAAGTTGCCTGCGATAACCTTCCTTATATTTGTACTGAAATAAATGCACAAGCATACAGTAAGTCATCCACTTATGTTTCTTTTTGGTATCTGAACTATAATAGCAAAGTTAAAAAATGTATTTTATGCATGTGTACATCTATTGTATTTTCTTAAGAAGAATTACTTTAATGAAGAAAAATACAACAAGAATAAGTCATTATTAGCTCTTTCCCACTCTGATAATGGTGAATGGTTCTGGACACTTTTGACACTAGTCAGGATATTTGGGCAGCAATATACAGGTAATGTTCCTTTTGGATTCTGAAGGGTGTAAGCCTCCATAACTCATGGCTTTGAATTAGAGTGAAGAAGAGTTTTCAGTGTTGTTCTGCCTTGTGTAATGGCTATGGAGCACTCTGAATTATCTATCATTTGTACATTTGGCTTCATAGTGGAATTTGCAAAGACAAAGGAAGCTGTTCCTTGAGAGATTGATAGTAATTAATATATTTTCTTATGTTTTAATGTTTTTGCTTTGTGGAAGTACTACAAAGTATATTTCTTGAATATAAGTTAAATTTGTAATAATTCATGCCATAGTTTGGAGAGCTTACAAGATATAATGGGAAACCACTATCACAAGAGAGAGAAAGAGAACTATTCAACATTACTGCCAATATTAAGTCCTTGAAGAGCTGCAACTGACAGTGTGCAACCAAATATTAAAAATTCAAATGAAAGCATAATCCTATCTCTACCAGCAAGAAATGCTGCTATTCTTGCCTGAAGTTAAGAACTATTCCACTTGCCTGAGGAGCTGATTTCTACAGTTCTGAAGGAGCTACAGTTTGCTTCACTAACCAGGAAAATTTGGCATCTGATAGCTTCCAAAACTAGCATGAAGTGACATAACTCCTGTTCCCTTGATGCATCTTCCCATTTTTTTTCAATCTGTGACCAATCTATTCATAAACTCTATTAAGACAGGTGACTGAGCATAGTTACCCCAAGAATGCACAGAGGCTGCTTTTTAAGAGTTCATATCAGAGACAGAAAGTTCTGTGTTAACTGCAATATTTCTCTGATTTTAAATTTTGAACTGCAGATTTATTTGAAATTCCCCAGAGCAAGAAATTCATTTTGTAAAAAATCACTGAAGTATAGACTGTTGTTCTCCTTGAAAAAGAAGCTACTATTGTAATCAAAAAGTTCTCCACATGCATTCACTGTTGAACTCCTTAGTAACTTTGGGAAATTAAAATGAAGTATTTTGTGTGTTCTGAGGATAAATCAGTGGTATAATTGTATTAAAGCAAGTCCCTTTTCCCTCTTCTTAGCTTTAACTCTTACTCTAAATGTAGCAGAATTTACCATTTTAAAAAATATACTTAGAAAGGAAGTTTCTGATCTGAGTAGTGGACAGTATGTGTAGTTCAGGTTGAAATGTTGGGAATTTGGTGTTTGCTGAACTTGATTTTCTTGCAAACTTTTCATTACCAATCTACGTAACGTTTTCAGTGCTTTGACATTAAGAAGGACTTGTTTTTGAATTATTGTATATAGGATTCAGCTATAATGCTGAAGCCCTAAACAAATTTCACTTGGAAAGAAGTCCCATTAAATTCAGCAGGTAGTTAAGATCTGATTTTTAAAGAGAAAATGTTCCCACATGGGAGAATTCACTTTCATCCCACGAAAATAAAGACTTACATCACTGGCAATAATTCTGGATGCCTTGGCAGACTGAATTGGAATTGCATCGATTCGCAAATCGTATCCTCTCTTCCTTGCCTCTTCCAAGGAAAGTTTATATAAATTCTTTTTAAAATGATAGAAAGAAGAAAATATTAATATTTACAGCTCTTACTTAATGATAAACAATGTAGGCAGACAGACTGAATGTAACAGTCCTTACTATACAACTTCTTCAAAATTATTTTAGTGAGAAAGGAACCAGAAATGCTTAGTTCAGACATAAAACATCCAGGTATGTCATCGTTCTCCCCTGCCTGCACATTAAATATTACAACTTGACAACAACTTTTGGGACTGAGGTTCATGCCCATAGCTTTGGTAGACCACACACTGTGCACACTCTTTTAGGCTACTGGTGAGAAAAATGCTGAGGAAGTGGCAAGCTATGAGCAGGATTCCCATAAGCTTTTCTCTCCCCTTTGATCTGTCCTTTCTCATAAGCCTTTCTCCTCCTCTCCTCAGTCCTGTACTCCACTGCAGCTGATTATCAGCTCTTCACCAGGAACATCTCCTAGGGAACGCTCTTCAGGCAGTGGGTGCACATGATGATCAGAATGTTCGGTAGAGCTTCAATCCAGTGACCTCACCTCACTGTAGTTGAACTTGTTCTGTCTTGCTAAAGTGATTTCAGGGGTATCAGGCATTATGTGAACTTGTGTCTTGTCATTATTCCAAGCTTCAGTGTACAAACGCTGTAAAAATAAAAAAAGACAAGGAAGAAAATAAAATAGGCATTGGAATGAAACTAACTTGAGTTTTTCTTTAATCCCATTTTTTCACCCTGAAAGCTCAAGTAGAAATATCAGTAACAAATATTAGAGAACGTTTACATTATTGTCAAGTAGGGCGATCCTCAGGTCAAAAAAGTCACAATGTGCAATCAAAGTCCCACTTCTTTTTTGTGTGCAATGCATATATAAAAGGCAGGTCTGCGATCACACAGGTGCAGCTGTCATCTTTCACACAACAGCCTCCCCCCCGCAGATGTCCCTTTAGTCAAGTATTTTTCTAAAAAATGTATCAGGTTTATCCACAAATTTATTTCATTTTGAGCACACCAACACATTTTGAGCCAATACATATTACAATCCGGCCTCCTCCTCCCACCAATAACATTTCAATAGAGTAATTCTAATATACATTTAGCAGAATGTTTTACCCCATTCCAGAGATCTCTGTTGATAATTAGTGCAGATTACATCAGAAAGCACTCCCTAGTACTAAATTCTATCAAAGATGAATGAAGTAGTAGATTACTGATTTTACAAATACATTTAGTAGCTATTAACAGCATCAAAGATTTCTATTTAACAAATGCTGTACCCATGGGATCTTACAAACTTACATCTTACAAACACGAATTTGCAGTGTTGCTCAAATGCAAGCACTGCAGATTTTAGCGACAAGGTCTTAAATAAATCATTCTAATTGCTAGTATCAAATAAAAGAATCCTAGGATCCAAAGGATGCACCAGTCCCTTTATGTTCAAAAACATTCCTTAAGGAAAAATTGCAAATGGGTTTGCAGTTCTTTTGTCTAATATACATATTATTTGTGTTTCCCTATTTAATTGTTTCATTTCCCAGTCACCTAATGTCATTGGATTTCTGACTTATGTTGAACATAATGCACAGCTTAAAAATAGAAAAAGAATGAAAAAGCCAGTACAAGGTTTAAAAGTGCCATGTTAATTATTAAATTTAATTTCTTAAACCTCTTGCATAAAGTATCATTTTTAATAGACAGTTACATATCTAAAGCAGGCCATTAGTACTCACCTTGTTCATATTTTCTGCATTATGCTTAGCCAAAACTATTTCTAGAGAATCTGGTACACTTGTGAACTTGAATGTGTCTGGAGGCTGACGATACAACTTTTCACTTAGGATCTCTCCAGCCTTCTTGACTTTTTCATTCTCCAGGGAACCAATAGGGACCCACCCAATGCCTCTCAACCATTGAAGGTCAGACTTGTAGGAATTCTGCGATGTAGGACATAAAAAAGGCATTTAGTCAACAATGAAGGTCTAACTCCCCAAAGCTTTGCCTTTGATCCTACACACTATAGCAAGTTCCTTCTTCATGTGCCCTATGGTTTGTATTGTCCTGAATTACATGTTTTAGTCATGGACCCAAACTCATTCATACTTAAAAGAGATTACGAACTGAAACTCACTACTGTGTATATTATCAGAGTAGTAGGCTTTGTACTTCCTTTAAAGTCAGGTATACAAAATACACTCTCCCCTCCCTTCCTCACATCCTTGCAATCACAAATGTCATCAGTATGGGCATTTTTTTATTTTAATAATCTCTAATCACATCAGCTAGCATCACCGTTTACAATGAAATGAGAAATCAGCTCTTCTGGATCCTTACTACAGCAAATGTCAGAGACAATGGTCTTACTGAGAAAACAAAAACCTTAGATTTATCTATAACTGTGAGTTTAGTTTTTTCAACTGAGCTAAAAAGTTGGGGGTTTTCACCCAATTTTTTAAAAAAATCAATAAGACTTGCGAATTAGGTATTACACTATTGTCACAATTACAGTCTCTAATAGTACTTTATTTATGTATTTATAAACTAAGATGTATTTTAGATTTGTGGTCCCCAACTTTTTTAGGTTCATATTCAGATTTGGAATGTTGAGACAATGACTGTGAGTGACCATTCACATTATGGTTGCCACAAAAGAAATATTCAACCACCTAAATTATAGATGGATAAGATCCTCTGAAGCATTTTTGGAAATAAAAATGATGCTGAGAGTGCTGATTTGATTTCCATCATGCTTCCCATTATTTTTAAACTTAAATAATTTGTTTTTAATATAAATATTAAAAGAATCAGGGAATTTTGCAGCATATGCCAGGTGCCATGTTGGGGATCCCGGTTAGACTTTTCTTCCATATTTACATTTAACAAGTACATGAATGTTAATGATGCAACATATGCTAGAGTGTACAATATGGATTTAAACAGCAGCTTCCACAAAGTCACAACATTCTATCAAACTGTTCTGTAAATTTTCTGACTTCAACTTAAGTAACATAAAAATTAAGTATGGGGACAGAATTTTGGAAGCACAAATATTACTGAATGCCTTTTCAAATTTTTTAAGAAATATTTTCCAACCTAACCATATTTTAATGAACCAAATCTTGCTGACTTTTTCAAAACTCATGAAATTTGTTCTCCTATATTATTTTGGATCAGTTCCAGGGAGGTTAGATCCCATCATTACTTACATCACTCTGTAGTTCATAGGCCTTCCTGGCATGGATAACATCATTTTGGTCTGGGAGGCATGTCCACTGGTGCAAATAATTACGGTAATCAATGTCGGTGACCAGTTTCTGGCAATTCTTTGCCCCCAGGATCGACAGCATATCCACAGGACTGCTGTACTTGGTCTTCAATTGCTCAAAGACTTTCTTGTATTCTCTCTCACTCTGCATCTTGGCGACATTCATGGAATGCACAATTTTGGGATCGTCTTCCACACAACGAGCTCCCACGTGGTGGCCCAGCTGCTTGCGATAGCCTTCTTTGTACTTGTACTGTTGACAACAATAATAAGCAGTGTAAAACAAAGTTTTACTTACCCTGGGATCCCTAAGATCCAGAAGCAGTTATCGTACAGAGTTTAAACCAAGTATTTGTACAGACCTATAACTTCAGTAAGATGTTTGTACAAAACCACTTATATTTTTATACATGGATTTGGACTTCATGCCCACTGTTTCAGTCTTCAGTATTTTACAAGGGGAAAAATATAATTCCTATTTTCTATGCTTTCATTTCATTTCCTAGGTTGCTTTCTGTATCAATGATCTCTAATGTATATCCAGAGAGAGAGAAAAAAAACCATGGAGTAATTGAATAAGGCAGGTGAAGGCACACTCCATTTATCTATGCAGTTATTTTGGTTGAAAAATTAAATGCCCGTACTATCAATACTGCCAAGGAAAACTACTCAGCCCATTTAAATCTCAAATATTGAAATGGGTTGTAACAGTTGCAATAAATTATGGTTTCACATGCTCAACAAAGCCTCAAAAGAATCCAATTCTTGCTGTAAATGAAAAGTCTCCAAATTCTAGATAACACTGCAAGCAAAATAAAAACTTGTGGTTTGTATTACATTATAAAGGAAGTTTGTTTTTAGCATATTTTAAGTAATTACTATTTGTCTATTTTAATTAATGTTTATTCTATTTTACTGTAAATCGCCCAGAGTCACTCCACAGTGAGATGGGCAGTGACAAATTTGAAATATAAATAAATAAATTCATACAACTACATACCTCACTTGCAATATCTCTGGATGCTTTAGCAGCCTTGATAGGAATTGCATCTACCCGAAGATCATACCCCCTCTTCCTGGCCTCTTCCAATGACATTTTGTATAGTTTCTAAATGGATGAAAAATACTGCTTTAGTATTTCTGAGGGCACTTTCCCCCGTCCCTTCTCATAGATTTGATGAATAGAAATCCACTTACATCACTGTAGTTGATTTTGTTCTGTTGTGATAGTAGAATTTCAGGAGTGTCAGGCATAATATGGATGTTGGTTTTATCTTTATTCCAAGCATCAACATACATACGCTAAAAAAAAAAAAAGACACAGTTAAATAATCAGTGTAGTGGTTATTAAAATTGTAACATAGGATCAGTTTTAATTCTGTGTTGTGGGTGGAAATTATGAAACCCATTTTATATTGTTAATACCAGCACTGTAATTACAGAATACAAAAAGCAGCCAAGTATATAAGATTCTGCTAGATCCAAAAATGGATGACAAAGTATTACTTAAAGTTTACTTATAACATTTTTAACTTATTCATTTTGAAAGCCAGGGTTGGAAACCAAGGTGAATATAAATAGATTCATTATTTGTGATAAGAAGCATTCTTGTTGCATAAATAAAATCCAAATCTCTTTAGCAAGGAGTTTCTTCATCAAGAATTAATCAGTAGCAAGACGTTTAAGGGGTTTCCAAGACCATTCTTGATGAGTTCTACTAAGTTCATCATACTGTTCTAGGGAAGAACCTAGATTAGCTGCTTGTAATTCAGATGAATGCCACTGGTTCTGCTACAATGCTATGCACTGGTTCAGCATTTTCTTCTAATTTGGAGAATCTGTAATTCCTTGTAACTGTAGATGAAGTGGGGCACACACACTCATAAATATTCTTAAACCTCCTCTATTAAACTGGAAAACATTTGCCTCTCATGATAATGGAGTTGAATATAATACTCATTGATAAATCTTCACCAAATGCAATCAGAGAAATGAAAAATCTGTAACTCCACTTTGGAACCCTATCCAGGTTCCATCTTTGTGCTAGAACTAAGACGGAAAAAGAGATGATGGTAAGAATGATGGGTAATTATTTCAAGCTGGCCATGGACAGTGAAGTCAGAGGACTAGAAGCTTTACTGAAAGCAAGAGGCAAGACAGGCAAGTGGTAACAGAACTGCTGTTTCAGGGGAATAAAGTGGGACCTATAACAAAATGTTGCAATCTATCTCTACCACCTAAGGCAAAGGAGTGCAATTTTTTTCATATCATGGTTTTCGAATGGTATGTCAGGAACCCACTCCAAAAAGTAGGGAAAGGCAGGTCAAAAACTAAATTTGATTAATTTCAAGTTAAATGTAAATTAAATTATAGATAATATGAATATACTTCATGTATTTATCAATGTTCCCTTTCTTTTATAAAATGGTAAACAGTTCTGGGAGTCTGGAAATTGTATGGGGTTCAGCAGAAATATTGCAAAGCATTAACAAATGCAGACAGTGTGCACAAGATATGAGCTATCTGTTCAAGTGATTGCATGTTTGCAAAAGCTAGGAATTATAGTATATACAAAATGCCTACAAAAATAATCTGAAGGGGTATTATGCATGTATAAGCAGGAAGCTCAGAAAGAACATGCGTGTAAAAAATCTTGGAAAAGCCTGGCTGTCATTTAAAGTAAGAGTACATGGACCTCTAGAATGACAGAAGGAGTTACACAGTGCCACAAGCTCTGCCTCCTTTGTATGCGAGCATTACATGCCAATGTATATACAAAAGAGGCAGGGCTTGTGGACACGCTGTAAGGAAGCATTCTATGATCCCAGCCTCAGTAGTCCAGGAGCCTGAGGAATATCCCAGGTTCCCCCTCTGAAGGGGTGTACTAGCTCCACCTTATGCTTCCCACTAGCCAAGGCCAGACCTTGGCTTTGTAAAGCAACCCTCTCCAAAAGGTGTGCCAGGCCATGGAACGGGGATGGAATAGAAAAGCTGAGGATCTGATGGATTCTAAGTCTTCTGAGGGTTTTCCACATTCCAGACTGGGAGAATTTGCTTAGTCTCATTACTGTTCATCACATTGCTTAATATGCTTAGTAGGGAAAGATTTTTAAAAACTTGCAGAAAAGAATGCCAGCCTGTGGTATAGGGAAATGTATTGGAACATTTCAACATGGCAGTATTTTGGCCTATGGTTAGAAATGCTTTGCCATGTCTTCTGAACTTTCCCCCCAACTCCAAAAAGCAAACTGAAGTGGATGATGCATCTTTATATGCATCTTTAAAACTTTAAAACTTAAGTAGAACAACTATATAAGTTATTTTGAAGTCTTACAGAAAACAGTATAAATATTCTACCAAAGTAAATGATGTGTGGATATGTATTTAAAGAAAGGATCATAGATAAAACTTACCTGATTCATAAGTTCTGAGTTATGTTTTGCCAAAGTCATAGGCATGGAATCAAGAGGGCTGGTAAATGCGAGAGTGTCCGGGTGTTGCCTATATTGATAGTCACTCAAAATCTGGGCAGCTCTCCTATTCTTCTCTGCTTCCAGGGAACCAGCTGGAGACCAGCCAATACCCCTGAGCCATTCAAGATCTGATTTATAGATATTCTGAAGGAAGGAAGGAAGGAAGGAAGGAAGGAAGGAAGGAAGGAAGGAAGGAAGGAAAGTTATCCTTGAGGACTTTACTCTCACAACCTAAAAACACATCCCTTAAATTATTGTTGCAATGTAAATTACTTTTAGAATAGTTTAAACAAAGAACTGAATGGACAGATCAGTCACTGTAATTGTGGTTTTTCATTCCTGACTTCTATTTCAACTGCTTACCCTTGAAAGTACCCTTTCTGGACACAGGTAGTAGCTACTGCAGGAGGCAAAGTCCAATTTGTACAAACTTACTAAGTAACTTTAATCTTTGGATCTAATTAGCTAAATTGCCGTTCTGTTTTCTATTTCAGAAAAAAACTCAAAGTGAGTTGCAGGCATTGACTAAAGTGAAATTAAAAAGTGAAGAAATACAGCTAAAAAAACAACTGATAAAGAAAAGCTAAATTTGAGAGAGAGAGAGAGAGAGAGAAGAAACACAAGTATTTTAGCTTGCTTCCAGAAAAAGGAAGCAGCTAAATACACATTCTATCACCAAAAGGCCTCTGTTTTTTTGCAAAGATCAACCTAAAGAGGAAGATCATCTGGGAATATGTGCACTCAGAAATATCCAGGACCTGAATCTGACTTCTTAAGCTAATATTTTCCAGATGAATTATATTTTATCCCCCAGCATTTTCAGAAAGTGTGGAGATTTGGGATAAAAAAAATTAGTGTAGACCTGTTCTAAATCATTTAGGATTTTGGTTGATACCTTATACTCGTTTATCTGTGAGTAAACGCTGAACCCAACATGTCTTATTCTCAAATAAACATGTATAGAATTCCACTATAAATCAATACTTCCAACTTGAATTGGGCTTGGATATATACTGATATCTACTATAGCTGTTTCTGAAGAGATGTGATATGATTATGCTTACTCATATTCAATACTAAATCAGCACTAGATCTGTATCATTGTAAGATCTGAATGTGTGTGTGTGTATTCCATCACTGTTATCCCATTCTTGAGCAGCCTGAAATCAGCCTGAGGTTCTGAACTTATAAATTCTTATTCACTTGGTGTATTAGTTTTCCTACTTCATTACTCAACATTTTACTAATGATACTGCTTCTTAAAGTATAGTACCCTAAACCTTGAGAAACAATATAAAACCAAAACTCATTCAAATTAACTGAGTGATCCATAATGGTTTTGTTTAGAGCACAGCTAACACTGAGCAGAAGAGGGTGGTTGCCTTCTATTAGGTATGGCTTTATATTTACAAAGTTGCTAAAATGACACTTACATCACTTTGAAGATCATATGTTTTCTTGGCATGGATGACATCATTTTGATCCGGCAGACATGTCCATTCATGTAAGTAATTACGGTAATCGATATCGCTGACCAGTTTCTGGCAATTCTTCGCCCCCAAGATCGACCACATATCCACAGGACTGCTATACTTGGTCTTCAATTTCTCAAAAACTTTCTTGTATTCTCTCTCACTTTGCATCTTGGCAACATTCATACAATGCACAAGTTTAGGGTCATCCTCTATGCTGCGAGCTCCCACATGGTGACCCAGCTGCTTACGGTATGCCTCTTTGTATTTGTACTGCACAGAGAGAGAGAGAGGGAGAAAAAAAACTTTTCCTCTAGTTTCCCGTATCACTAAAAATGCTAAATTGGATTTTTCTTTCCAGTCAGTTTGATCACTACATATCAGGTGCTGAGTTCCAGTATGACTGGGTCACACCCACAGGTATCTCTCAACCGATGGAAAAATATTTGCCAGTGGAATGGATGTTTCTTCCCCATGCCATTACTTCCCTCCCTCTTGATGTAGATGTGGGGAGCATGCAAGGGATTGGCAAGGAATGGAAAATGAAGAGAAGCCTGAGACATGAGCATTAGGAAGCATTTTTTTCTTTTCATTGCAATAATAATAAAAAGCATTCAGTTTTTTTAGAAGGGCTCATTAAAGGTATTTATTATTAAGTCCTATTAAATATTATTATTAAGCTTATTATTGTACTTATTTAAGTACTATATTAACCCAATAGGAAAATGAATTATTCCCCCCACCTCCAATGATTATCTGTTAATTGGGATGTTCATTACATGGCAAGTGAGTAATTCTCATTCTCTAGGAACGGGAAATCTGGTTGAAAACAAGGGAATGACTTGGAAGTGCAAACAGCTGTACACAACACTGCTGGATGGTCTCCAGGACTAATTTCATCTGTGATTAACTACCTTAAATTGACATGTTGGAGATGATGGCCAACACACAGAGATTTTGTTGGTTGAGAGAAAGATGGCTATAGAGATATATATTATCAGCCTAAATCAATCCACTGCAGGATGCAGGCCTCTTCATTGAAGATTATCATCCATCTGCCATGTTAATCTAATGCAGGTTGGCAGGTAGATGTTTTTGAACTTTCCAGTCAAGAGCTAAGAGAGCGCAACTAGTCCAAAGTCACGCAGGTGGTTTATGTACCTAAGGGAAGATGTATGTTGGGGGGGGGGGTAATCTTCCTTGACTGAAGATCATCTTAAATTTAGGGTGTTAATTTAGAGTATTTCTTTTAAGTAACTCAGTAACATTGATATCCCATCTCAAATGCATGACTTTTAAGTGAAGAATGGTTTGAGGTAGTATTTTAAGTTATAAGAGAAGGATTTAGAATTTCCTGATTCTGTTTTTCAAAAAGGTCAAGAGTTAAAATTACCTTTCTATTTTTATTTACATTAATTAGATGAGCCATTCGAATGATCTAACCATTCAAAATTGAAAATGGTTAGAGTCCAGGAGGATATTTAATACCCTTAATTAAAATGGTATCTTAAATTATTTTATGTAAATGCATGATAATGATAATAGAAAATATCATTCTGTATTGAAAAATCTCACTAGGACTAATTAGCTACTTAATTGGTGAATGAGATAATATTAAAAAGAGGGGGACTGTGTGAGTGTGTGGTTGTACATATAAACCAATGATTGGGGCCAGCATGCCAATGGTAGGCAAGGCTGAAACAAAGCCCCAGTAAAAGTCAAAGACCCCTTATGATATACAAGATACTCATTTATCTCTCCATCAAGGAGCAGGCTCTCAGGCCTTATCAGTGGCCTGAATGGATTGCTTTCAGAGGCCTATGGAAAGTAGGGTAGGGCCTCAGTTTACCCTCCCATGGGAGACCAGATAAGGTGAAGATTTAACAAATCACTGCATGCCAAAATACATAAACAGAGTTCCTTACTTCACTGGCAATTTCTCTAGATGCTTTTGCTGCCTTGATCGGTATGGCATCAACTGGAAGCTCATAGCCTTGCTTTCTCAATTCTTCCAATCCTAATTTGTAGAGTTTCTAAGAAGAAAGCCAATGAAAGTTAGGAGTGCAACACTACTAGTACAACACTAAATGTTCGGTTCTGCAATTAAGCCAGTAACAAACTTACATCACTCAAGTTAATTAAGTTGATTCTGGACAAAACAATTTCAGGAGTGTCAGGCATGATATGAATCTGAGTCTTATCTTTGTCCCAAGCTTCTCGATAAAGTCTCTAGAAAACAAACACAAAAAAGAATGAATAATATCATTTTTCAGTGATAAAAATAATTATATGCAATGTCACCTTTCACAGCACAATAGAAATATTTATCTAGCTAATGCAAAACATTATGAGCTGTTCTGAAGATGTAGAAGCAGAAGAAAATAGTTATGAAAACGCTGGTAGAAAGATCCCTCTTCATAGTCTACCCACAAAGTGGAGCATTTATGCAGAAGAGATTCTTTTGCTTCATCCTTAAATTAAATAAACCTCATTATATCATCAAGGACACTCATTCACACTAATTTTTAGAGAGGAATAAAACCAAATTTACAAAAAATTAACATTTTGCTAACTAAATCCCATGAGCACCATCATTCTTCCTACACTAATTTTTTTTTTTAATATATTTACCATAACAGAATTTTATTCTTATTTACTTGGAAGCAAGCTCTGTTAATTCAGCGGGTCTTAGCTGCAATTAAACTAAAGACAGCTACAGTCCTGAACACAAACTCCTAAACTACCTTGAGGTTATTTGAACACAGTGTACCTTACTTCTGAAGAAACATATGTTCAGGGCTGGAAAGAAGCAACTACATTATACTGCAGGATCTACTGCATTCTTCCCTCTACCACTCTCAGGCCCTCTTTATGCTGCTGACTGTCTCCCCAAGTCCTCTCTGGCAGCAAAAACCCTCAGACTGAGAAACACTCACATCACTTCTATGCTTTGAATTTTCTTTTGCCAGAACAACTTCCATTGAATCAGGAATGCTTGTGAATTTAATCGTGTCTGGGTGTTGACGATAGTTCCTTTCACTCAGAATCTCAGAAGCTTTCTTGTTCTTTTCCGACTCTAGAGAGCCATACGCATTCCATCCAATGCCTTTCAGCCATTCGAGGTCGGATTTATATGCATTCTGGCATGGAAGAAAAGAAGCCATCATTCTATATTACAAAACCTCTGAGGATATTTTGTTTTTTACTTACTGCTCTAGAATTATGCATGTATTTCTTTTTCATATGATGATGCCTCTTTGATTTAGGACTCTGTAATAACTTGGTGGTATGAATAAAAGCACAAATTATGACATAAGGTTAGAAAAAGAGAAAGGTCTTTTCCCATCAGCCCTTCAAGATAGGACAGACACTGCAAGAAATATAGGAATTCTGCTTTTTAATATGGGCTATAATAACAGAATTTTGAAAACCTGACAATGATTCCCCTTCCCTCCCCCTTAGCCCAGATTTGACTCTTTTTAGTATATCCTTTAGTATATCCTATCCTTTTCCTGCTTTCCTGGACTAGGCTCATGTTTTACTAAACATTGCCACATTATACATTTCCCAATATTTATACACTGAGAGCAATGGTTCAGAAAAGGATAGAATTGGAATTTAAAAAAAAAATCCTTTGGAAGGTTTGATTTAGTTAGGAACTGCATTAAAATATAGGAGAAGTCAAGACCAAAAAAAAAAAAACCTTACCAAGTTAATAAAGGGAGAGGGAAAATGTAAATTGGATATCAGAGTCTGGAGTTACTCTAAGTTGTAGGAAGAGAGAGTGAAGAAGAGTAATAAGAAAATAAATATGCATATTCAGATCTCAGTAAAGAAGGTAAAGGACACAAGCAGGACCATTAATTGGTCGTAGGATGGATAAGAGACAGGGGAAGACTTCCAGCCTACTACACAGTCAGTATAGTTTTATCAAATGAAATAGTTGAAATATGTGGCTTACATCACTTTGTAGTTCATACACCTTCTTAGCTTGGATGATATCATTCTGATCTGGCAGACATGTCCACTGGTGCAAGTAATTGCGGTAATCAATATCACTGACCAATTTCTGGCAATTCTTTGCCCCCAAGATTGACCACATATCCACAGGACTGCTGTACTTGGTCTTCCATTTCTCAAAGTCTTTCTTGTATTCTCTCTCACTTTGCATCTTGGCAACATTCATAGAATGCACAAGTTTGGGATCGTCTTCTACACTACGAGCTCCAATATGATGGCCAAGTTGCTTGCGATAACCTTCTTTGTACTTGTACTAAAACAAAAAAAAAAGTTGAGTCAGAAAAACTGAAAATCAGGAATAATTTGCAGATCCAGGTTTGTTGGATGTCAGATTTATACATATATCTAACATTTTCACAGTGGTTGCATTTCTACGTACACGTACCTAGTAAGCCTCTACAGATCTGTGTGGGATTTACTTGTGAAGAAATGGTCTGGACATAGCTCAAAAATTTCTATAGTGCAAAGCTTTATCAAAGGTGTTGAATCTTATAGGAAGGACAAAGTACATATATTAAAGCATGTTTTTACTGTAAACCACCAGAGTCACTTCTTAGCGAGATGATGGCAGAGGGGTGAACTTACAGTTAACTTACAGGTTAATTGAAGGACTGCCTTTTCCCAGTTACATCTATCCGACCCACCAGTTCGGGAAGGCATGGTATGTTACAAGTCCTCCCGATTAAGGAGGTTCATCTGGTGGGACCGAGAAAAAGGATATTCTCCATGATGGCTCCCTCCCTATGGAACATCATATCCCCAGAGATAAGACTGGCCCCCACCTTGATACTCTTCCAAAAGGCCTGAAGACGTGGTTTTGCCAGCAGGCCTGGGGATCCCAGGTTGATACGGAGCCCATCGAGTGGCTAGTTTGAAGGTGTTGTTGTCGCGGGGGGGGGGGAGCATAGTGGGTCTTGTATTTGGTGTTTGATTTCTATAAGTCGCCCGGAGTTATCGTGTGTGAGTTGGGCAGCTATATGAATTTGTTTAATAAATAACTAAATTAACATATTTATCATGTGGAAATGAATAAACCCTGACATTAAAAAGAACCATAGCCTAAGCTCTGAATGCATAAAATCTATATCAGGGTGAATTTACAATATAACTTACATCACTAGCAATGTCTCTGGATGCTTTAGCAGCTTTCACTGACATGGCTTCATTAGTGAGATCATAACCCTTCTTCAACATTTCTTCCCATCCAAGTTTGTACACTTTCTAACATGAAAAAGTAGCATAGATTAAAAAGAAGAAAAAGCAAATTGAATAAATTAAAAATTTACAGTCTACTTGTATAATTGAAACACACCCAAAATATGCTTCATGTTTCCTCCTGAGAAATCTAGTCATGTTACAGGAATGTGCCAAAATCCCTAAGAAACTTGGCTAGTAATATTGTAATTCTTAGCTTTACTCAAGCACTGTCTGTTATTTGAGTAGGAACATATTTGCTTCAAATTTGGTTTAAATAAAATTTGAACAAAATAATATAAGAAGCTTTCTGTTAGATCAGGCAAAAGTCTGTCCAAGCCAGCTTTCTGTTCTCACAGCAGTTCTGAAAGCCCTGCTAATGTTTATTAATATTAGCATAATTCTTAGCTTCTTTTCTCTTTCATGTATGTGTCTCACAAGAAATCTTTTGATTTGCTTCAAATTTCATTTCAAACAAATATCACAAATTGAAATCAACTTCCTAGAAATTAGAAAGGAGAGAGATTACTGAAGGGATTTCTGAGGAATCAGGGCACAGTCCTCCATCATGACAGTCATAAAGGAGCCAACATCTAACATATGACAAATGCATTAAATACTCAGAACTGCTAAAATTAGCTAGGAGGTATGAAGTTTGCTCTAGAAAATTTCTGAAACTTTCTAGAAAATCAGGTTTATAATAGCAGTTTAGGTTTATAATAGCAAGATTATATGTTCAATATTGTTATTTGTTCTGCATACTTCACCTCCATATTGGACTAGCACCAGCTGATACAGAATCTGAGGACTTTACAGTCATGATTCTAAATGTTCTTGTTCTTTCTTGGAAGTAAAGTTGAATGAAATGCAAGTTGAATGAATGAATGAAAACTGAATGAACGTCTGGATCAGTTAACCTGCTTGATTAATTGCTATATCCAACACCTCCATTGTGTAACAAAATGACTGTTGTTTCATGTTTCCAAGTGGGAAGGTCCACCAAAATAAAGAAGGAGCACTGCAAGCATTTTGAACAGTGCATTCTGAAGAGCCATTGGTGAAGGCACCACTTTAAATTTGGACACAACAGTATCTGCAAAACACCTTGAATGCAATCACAACACATCTTGAAAACATGTTCAAGGGTAAAAAATCTACCTGTTGCTCAAAAAATACAACTTATTAAGACATAATTTCCAAGAATAGTCTCAGAGTTTCAATAAACTGCATCTCCAAATATTAACATATTAAGGAATCATTTCATTAAGGAGAACATAATCAACATGACGATGACTAGTTACTAAAACACATTTTTGGATATTTTCTTACCTGGCTGTAATTGTACTTGTTTGCTTTAGCCAGCATAATATCTGGCGTATCTGGCATGACATGAATCGTTGTCTTATCCTTCTCCCAGGCATCTATGTATGCACGCTATTAGAGAAGAAAATAATGAAGCTCAATAAATGCATTCATATGCAATAATGTTGTCAGGTGGATAGCTATAGTAATATGTATATGTCAAGTTTGATTTTAATATAAAATTGAAAATGTGTGCAGATTCTCTGCAAAGGAAATGCATGTACGGTATATGTCCTGGAAGAAATATATTTAGCAACATGCTTGGGATGACCTTCTGGCCATAAATTAGCTTTTTCCTCTATATATTGTACAATGTAATGATTTTCATCTGCATAAACCCTTTCAGGGGACAGAGCCCCTTTAAGTCACAAGAGATTATGACAACATCAATTCAAGGATGTTGGTATATAGGTAACAGTACCACTAAAGATGCCAGTTAGCTGAGAAATCAGCTAAGAAATAATCATGTTCTATAAAATCTGCTAGGAATTGTTCAGTGGTTCTTACAAAATCTCTGCCACACATAGCATAACATACATTGCATCTATAGTTTGCTGAAACTAATGCTAAACAGAGAGGGGAGGGGAGGTGTGGTATATGCTATTATTTGCACTCAGAACGGCAATGGTCACCTTATTCATAAGATCAGCGTTGTGCTTTGCAAGTTCCATATCCATTGAATCACTCAGCTTCGTAAACGGGAAAGAGCTCGGGTGCTGGCGATACTTTGTGTCACTAGCAATCTCGGTGGCTTTCTTGGACTGCTCCATATCCAGTGAACCCGCAGGGCTCCAACCGAGCCCTTTGTACCATTCATTATAATCTTGCTTGTATTCAAGCTGTAGGCAGAGAATAAAACACAGCTATAGTTGAACAGCTCTTAACTGTAGCAGTACAAAACCTCCCTACCTACATATCAAAAAGAGGCATCCAATGATTAAATGATGACATGATGAATTACAGCTTCAGGTCACCCTTGAGCTAAGGGATAATCCTCTTATCTTTTGCTTGCTTTATTATTGAATGAGTAAGCATTGCAATACTGTAAAAATTGCTTGCTTTATTGTTTAATTAATAAACAAGTATTTCCTTTCTAAAGTACTGAGCAGCAATGTCTCTCACTTGATTTCTTAAGAATGCTCAAGGTGAAGTATATAATCATTCTGATTCTATAAATTAGCATATTTTAATTTGTAGTCTCAATTGTATAGTGCAACTTAGGAAGAATTTAATGAATTTATACATAGTATAAATCTTCCTAAAAGTACACCAAATTAAGCTGCACCTTCATCTTTCCAAGAAATTATAGATGTTATTATATCTGTGAAAGCAGGAAACACACCTAGTCCAGATAATTATTCCATTGAGTGGTATAAGACATATATTGAATTCTTTGTCCCAATATCATTGCAGATCTATACAGTAATGCCTTTTTTTAAAAAAAAAAATTTCTAACCTCCTTCACCATGATTTATATAACTATGATTTTGAGGGCTGGTGACTATCCTGCTAACTTTACAGTCCTGCTGACTGATTTATTTATTCCATGTTAATACAAAACTACTGCCAGGGACCCTGGCACATAGATTATGGATGATATTGATTTTAACAATCCATCTTGCACAATCTCATTTTATACAAAGTTGACAAGTGTCTGTTATTAGATTATTAACCGACATTCAGAAAAACTAAAATCTGCAGTAGTGGTCTCACTAGATTTCTTTGACATGATGAAATGGAAATGTCTGAAATTTTCGGGCACATTATGCAAAGACCCAGCTGTCTGGAGAAGGCTCAGATGCTGGGGAAGGTAGAAGGAAAGAGAAGAAGAGGGTGACCAGCAGTAAGGTGGATGGACTCAGTTACAGAAGTGATGGGTACATCATTGGGAGACTTTGAAAAAACAGGTTGGGGATAGATCGTCATGGAGAAAATCTATCTATGTGGTCACTAGGAGTCAAAAACAACTTGATGGCACATAAATCAATCAATCAAATGGGAATGTCTGAAAAAAGTTTTGACTAACTAGAGATTTCCTCCTTTTTTATTAATTGGATCAATATATGGTACACTGTTGCTAAGGTTATTACAAATGGAATTGTCTCTTCATCTAGGATGATGTCTTGCTGAACTTATCAAAGGTGTTGTTTATCTCCCCTTGTTTTTAATTTGATATTGGAATAGTATTTATTCTACAAATGGAAGACATTTTACAGTGGGTGGACTTAAACCCACACTGTTATAATGTGATGATTATATGTCTTCCCCATAATTATGTATTTTCTATACTAAAATCCTTATTAACACCTAATTAACATCAGCCTCTTGGAAGTATTATATAGGAAGTTTGTTGTTGT